AGGGGGATACAATTTAAGGGGTCAGTTAAATTATAAAATTCATGCTATACGTACAACCAAAAAAAGATTCTGTATTTCGATAAGTGGAGTAAAACTATGGAATAATTTAAGTATGGACATAAAAAACAGTAAGAAAATTGATGAGTTTAAACACAGATATAAAGGTATGTGTCAATCAAGATATGGGCAAGAACAGGCTTAATGATTAATCAGGTGGGAGTGTGGATGTAGAACAAAATTATCCATGTAGTAATACTGCTTGCAAACCAATGATGATAAGATGATGTTAGGGGGTAGGACTAGATAAGTCTAACTTCTTCCTACTCCGTTCAAGCATGTACTAGGTATAAGCAAATTGAAAATATATTTGTGGATATGTCTGGAATTATGTGTGGTTACATACTGACTGTTGTTACATGTTTGAAAGAATAAATAAATCAAATCAAATCAAATCTGATCTGATCTGTTAGCCCTGCGATGGATTGGCGACCTGTCCAGGGTATACCCCGCCTTCGCCCAATTGCCAGCTGGGATCGGCTCCGGCCCCCCCGTGACCCCGTTCAGGGATTAAACGGTAGAAAATGAATGAATGAAAAGAATTCAAATGAATGAATGAAAAGAATTCAAATGAATGAATGAAAAGAATTCTAATGAATATTTCATTTTGTCTTACAGGTGCCCTGCTGTCCGACGCCTCTATTGTACCTATGTTTAATAGGAATTCTGTCTTTCTTGTCCCACTCTGTTTTTTGGAATTTTGGACAGCTTGATGAATTTTGAAACACTTCGATGAACCTATTTCTTGGAACACATTTATTGGTGCCCTTGTTTATGGACAATCAGGTTAGTGGTACCTGATCTGCTTATCTTTATTGATCTGAGAGTCTCTCTGCTCTCCCGCTCTGTCCTGTCTTCTGATAAATCCAATTGGCAGTAGACACTGTCTAAATCTACATTTTTGCTAACTGGTCATAAATGTGGAAATATTGTACTTGCAAAAAACATTGATTAGTAATAGAATATTGTTTAAGCAGAATTTCCCCCCACCTTTTATTAAAAAATTTTGAAAATATTTAATTTGACTTTTTTTTCAGTCATAGATCAACCATTGGCTCATAATTTACATAACTCAAATATATTGATAGTGCTCACTTTAAATTCATATTTTATATTTGAGAAAAGAGAAATGTATAAAAAGAATAAATACATAAGAATTGGACCCCAAAAACAAGAGCACTGTAGATCAAAAAAGAAAAAATACATAAGAATTGGACCCGAAAAACAAGAGCACTGCAGCTGTTCCTGAAAGTGTCCTACACCATGAGAACTACTAGGGTGTGGCTATTGAAATGAGGCATAAAATATAAACAGTAATTATGCAAAAACTGTAAAAGATATCAAAAAGCTGTGTACATTATGAATAGCTGAAGAGTTGCTGAATAGATAACAGTTGAAATGGTGTTTTTAGCTGAAGGTATGCTGAAGTTATTAAGATGTGAAAATTTTTCCCATTCATTTGAATGGGGCAAAATTTGTTTAAAAATGCTAAATATATGAAAAAGTATAAATGTTACAAACAAGAAAAATACAAGTAGACATGTCCTTATAAAGCTGAACGTTTTGATACTTGAATGCCCTTTGTAGCTGAAAGTATGCTGAAGGAATTAAGTGCCGAAAAACGTATGGAAGAAATCATAATAATAATAATAATAATAAATAAGAGGAAAACAGTGTGGATGCTACAGCATACACACAATAAAGAAGAGGATAACATAGTATGGATGCTTTTCAGCATCCATACAATAAATAACAGGAAAACATAGTGTGGATGCTACAGCGTCCACACTCTAATAATAAAGAATAGGACAACATAGTGTGGGTGCTTTGCATCCACACAATAAAAAACAGGGGAGCATAGTGTGGATGCTTTACAGCATCCACACAATATATAAAGAACAGGAGAGCATAGTGTGGATGCTGTACAGCATCCACACAATTACTGAATGGACACAGCTGTAGGCGTAACCCAGGGTAACCGCACCTGTCAGGAGCGAGAGAGAAAGAGAGAGAAAAAGAGAAGCTGTGCAGACCCCACAAATGACTTTTTTTTTCCGCCATCACTTCATATGTTTAATGGGTGTGTTCAATAATAACTTTGGAGAAGATCCGAAGACATTTCATGACCAATTTATGCAGAAAACCAGAAAACTGAAAAAAGCATCATTACTTTTTCTTGTGACTGTAATTAAGTTTATCTTCACTTATCTTCGCTTTCAGTCACTTGACTTTTTCATGGGAAGATAGTTTCAATAGCTCAATGATATGACATATAGCTAAACCCAACTTGGAATTGTCAAAACATGTCTGATTGATTGTGTACTGCTGGTAATAACTGTGTGTGGATGATTTGCATAAAATTCCCCCTCAAACCAAAATTTATTAAGTGTAGACTAACTGATTCCTGATAACAGTACTTTTATTCCCTTGTATTGAAACATTAGTTATGTTTTAATGCAAAGCAGATGTTAACTTTGTTTATCATGTAGCCTATTTTGTCCACATAATTTGGTTGAATTTCCTGGTGCATTTCCTTGCACATGGTAACTAGAGCCAGAAATAAAAATTCAGATTTACTACTTCTTCCACGGAGCTGGGAGGCGGCACTGGCGTTGCAGAATTTATGCAAAATTAAATATCCTTCTCTTCTTATTGGATGAGCACACGAGCGTTTCCCCTCTTGCAATTGGGCGCTGTTGTATTGGCCACGTCCCTAAGCCACGTCGCGCATTACTCGCCATTTTTCCATTTTCTAAAGTAAGCATCGGTCTCTTCTAGTATCACGCTGACTTTCGGATCTGTCAGGTCAAAAACGTATTGTTACCGGAGACGGGCTGACTTCTTGATAGAATCTTAAACCAGATTTGATATTTCACAAACATGAACATTTTCAGGCTAACCGGTGATCTGTCCCACCTAGCAGCCATCATCATACTGCTGCTAAAAATATGGAAAACCAGATCTTGTGCCGGTGAGTAGTCGTTTAGCTTTACGAGCAGTTTTTATGACCCCCTGTCTTGCACAAAAGGTCTCATGCCATGTAAATATCGCTACAGTTTAACCAGATGATACAGGTCTGTACTGTGAAACTTCTCTCAGAAGCCAATTCTCATCTAACGTCAACTAGCTAGCTAATAACACATCATACACAGGTGCCCTATATCATCAAATAAAGAGAGTCATTTCTGATACTGTCACTATTACGAACATTTGGGTGAAACAATGTGAAATTTGAGAAATGCTCTTAACGGGAAGAGACAACTTTAACTAAGTCTGGCTAGTAGTAGCTGTCTTGCTAACTAGCCTTGTCAGTGAAGCAGGCCCCGTACTAACAACAGAAGAGAACCATAGCGTCACTACATTCCTTGCTTTATTTAGATATGTTGGGCCTGTTGTCATTTTCAGTTCTTGGGGGGGAAAGCAAAGTGGTTTTACGTTGGCCCCGTTGCGCATACACTACGTTAGTCCAGTGGGACCCTTCTGACGTGGCACCAAAGAGTACTCACTATTTGCAGAGTTGGTGACTGAATTGAATACACGGTTTGCATTTACCTAGCAGCGTCGTAAGGAAATAGCTAGGTGTTGTATTGCGATTATGGAACTTTGCTGTGTTTTCATGTTGAGCCTCGTTGTGGTCTTTCATGCTCTTTAAATGGTCAAAGGTTAGGGCTGTGTTACTGCAGGGCAGCCAGTCACCAGAGTTATGTCACTACTGCTGCCTGGTTGAGATTAAACCAGATAGTTTTGCATGCAGTTTGATTTTGTTCAAGCTCTAGTATTCTAAACTGTTGTACGTTAGGCTTAAACCAGTATCATATTTTCACTAGTTCAGGCTGTAAACCTGATGTATTATAACCAACAGTATTTGACAAAGTTTAGCTACTAATAATGTAGTGATCACTGATCATAGCCTTCCCCCTAGTCTGGCAGTAGGTGTAATATAAACAGAGTGGCTTGCTGCAAGATGAAGAATGTGGAGCTGCACTGAGCAGGCATGCTCAAACCTACACTGCCACCTGTTTATTAGAGGGCTGCCATGTAACTTTGTAATATCACATTTCTGGAAAGAACTACATACCAGGTAAATAGTCTAATAAACAATGAGGTTACAGTTTAAAGTCTCCAGTTCCTGTATTTTTTATGTTTGCAATTGTAGTCTCTGTACAGGCAGGCTTTAGAGTGAACACTGGTGAATGATTGAACAAAACGTTTTGTTCTTAATGATGTAGCACTAAACCCGTCGGCTGTTAGTGATTAGCCAACAAGCTCACAACAGTTAACACATGGCAAAATTACATTACCTGTGTTGTGTTGAAATCTGTTTCCCCATCGAGATGTGTTTACCCTAACCTGAACCCTAACATTATCCTAACCACAGTCACTGAGGGGTGCGCTACATGAAACCAAGTTTTTAACAGGGGGAGCACATCTCGATGGGGGAACACCTTTCGACACAAGACCGGTAAGTATTTTCTTTATCTGTTGCTAACATTAATTAAATAAGGAGATACTAACCCTCTGCAGTGTCTTACCCCTCATTTACACTAGATCCAGCTGCACTGCATTCCGTCTGCAACCCAGTTTTGTTCTGTCCTCTGTTCAGCTTCATCCCCCACCTGGTTGTCTGCAGAGTGGCTTGTTGGGGTTGCTATTTTTTCGTGTATGATGTTCTTTGTTTTAGAGCTTCTACAATAAGTAGGCTTTGTAGTTAAATGGGTTCTTTTTTGTCTGTTAATTGCGTTTATGGTTTATTTCCTACTATGTTGTCTGTAGCCTACAAAGGCTACATTTAACAGTTTAATTTAAACTTAACGGTTATGCTGAAGCCATTATGAAACACTGATCAGAGAGTTGTGGCTGTGTTTTAGTATATCTTTCACATAGATATCGTTTGGGGAAAAGTACTATCTGATATCTGGGTTGAACGTTGTCAGAAGTGTCCTAGGTGCAGCATCTGTCAAAAATAGACTTGATGCATATCTTTAGCGAAGTGGACCAGAGAGCCAAATGTGGGATGGATTGAAGACGGAATGCAGCTGGACCCAGTGGGAAAGCAGCCATTGACTGGCAGAAATCAGCTACAGCAATAGCATCACAGATGGAATCCAACGCAGTTGGATCTGGTGGTAACTCGGGTGGTATGTTGGTGGAATGCAGCTCCCTATGCAACTGATGATGGCTATTGATTACTATACACGGCTAACACAGATTTTTAAAAAATGACAGTGCTGCTGGGGGTCAGCTTACACATATGCAACTCATGATTACTATTGCACTTGGAGAGGATGTACAGTACCCTGAAATAGGAGCTAAAAAATTCCCTCAAAATGGTGTTGTAATAACTGTTATTATTCTCAGTTCCTCCAGTGCAGACACACAAAAAAGAAATAGTTCTAAGAGCTACGAAAAAGTTCCTCCAGTCTAAAAGCACTTATTGTTAGAACATAGCAGAGGTCTGTGGAACAGTGTGTGATATCTATGGTTTACCTTGAGTAACTGAATATTGTATTTGAATTGAGATTTTAGTGTTTTGGTGAAATGTCAAAACTCATGGATAGCTGAGCCATTAGTCGAGAGCGCTGTCAGTTGACTGTGATTCTTCTAGTCGATCCTTTGTTTTTATTTCATTATATTTTATATTTTGTCAGCCAGTGTGTATTGCAATAGAAGGTAGCCTCAGTTGGTAGTTGGTCGTCTCCTCCTCATTTTGGTATGCCAAGCAGCAATTTGCTCAGTGCTTCCCCCTGTGGTTAGGGGGGAATACCCATTTCAATGCTGACACTGTCCAGTACATGGATGTACATTAAGGTAAGGTCTATATAACAAACTACAAAATGAGGAGAAAGGGACAACAAAATCCACTAGGACAGGACACTTAAAGATGATATTTATACTTCAGTAGAAGTGTTTTCAAACATTGGGGTCTACTTTTACAAAACAAAAAGGCTGTCATAACAATGTAGCTGGTTTTACAGAGCCTAATATTATGATTGTCCCATTTCCATTAAAGTGCAACTCAGCCATTTACCGACTTCTTCTACGACATGCATCCATCGAAATGGGCCTAGGACGCCAACAAAAATGCACAGGGAAAACATTTCAATGAGGAATTGTTCCCAGTGCAAGCTGGCACACATCAAATGCACAGTAACGACATGCACGGTGATGGAAGAAGCTTAAACCAGTTTGTAAACTAGGCTACAACTATATCCCAGAAGAAAAAAATTGCCTATAAGAGCATTGTTTCAACAGAAATAGAAGTGTGCTGCCTGTCTCATTATTCCAACAAATCTGCATGGCAGCCTGACATTATATATCATCAATTTAAATAGGTCGCAATTTAAATACTGAATCATAAGCAGCTGTCATTTATTGATTTTTTTTTTTAAATGCTCAGAAATATGTTAGTCACTCTTTTGCATTTGATTACCCATGTTAAAGTGGTTGAAATCATTAGTGAAATTCATGGCAGCTGATTTTCTGACAGTCTAGGCTATTAAAAGAAAAAGAACAACTAGTCACACTGACCAACTGACAAAATTCTTAGTGAGGTACAGCCCTAGTTATGGATTAGGTGACTTTATGTGACCTATAACTTTGGGATGTAGAAATGTTTGAATGCCCTCTGGTGTTTCTTCACAGGCATTTCTGGAAAGAGTCAGGTCCTGTTTGCCTTGGTGTTTACCACTCGCTACCTGGACCTCCTCACCTCCTTCATCTCTCTCTACAACACCACTATGAAGGTTAAATACTCACACCTGACTCCTCTCATAGCCTGTAATGTGTTTTTCCAAGCACCAAACATACAATATTAAGGCTTAACTAGTACACACCTGTTTGCTAAAGGATCAAGATGCCTAGCAAAATGCAACAGATGTGTGTGTGTGTGTGTGTGTGTGTGTGTGTCATCAATGCTGCTTGGATTTATTCATGTCAGTCCATTAGGTACCTAGGGCCACTGGGTGTTCAGCTGGTTTGTTTTGGTTCTTATGTTTCAGATCATCTACATTGGATGTGCGTATGCCACTGTGTACCTGATCTACATTAAGTTCAAGGCAACTTATGACGGGAACCACGATACATTCAGAGTCGAGTTCTTGGTTGTGCCTGTTGGCGGTCTGGCTTTCCTGGTTAACCATGACTTCTCTCCCCTGGAGGTCAGAAATTCAGCATGAGCACACTGATACAGCAGAGACGCATATGTTTCCGAATGTCCTTTGAACATCCATTAATATGAGACAGCTGTTACAGGTCAAACGCTGGTCTGTAAGCACAGATGCCATTCATACACAGATTTACATGACACAGGGCTCCAGAGTAAAATTTCATACTGGTGGCACTGATGCCACCAAGTCTCTCAGATGGTGGTGCCTTTGCCAGATTTGGTAACATCTCTGTTTTACACTGTAATGCAAAAGAATTTGTATTTTTCATTAATTATTTTAACTAACCATACTATCCTATGTGCATAGACTATATTTATAAATGAATTAGTAAAAGGGGAGATTTATGGAACACAGTAACTGGGAAAATCAATTCTAGAACAAGTTTCCACTCCACTTTATATAGTCACTTTAGTGCTGTATAGCCTAGCTATCAACGTGATGATGATAATGATTGTCATTTGGCATGCTTTGTCATTTGTGATTTAGCCTATTTGTAGCCTGTTTCTTCTGAAGAAGAATATTTGCTCTTTGGTGATGTCGGTATTGGACTTCATGCACAGTTCAGTCCATTCACTGGCCTAGCTATTGCCAGCTCATTTTGGGCTGAAGTTATTAGTAGACTACTACTTAAAGTAGGCCTTGATGGTGGGTTTCAGCCACTACTAACTTCAAACTGGGACTTCACTAAACATGAGTGGTAGATATGTGTGACTAGTGTCTGATCAGTTCAATTCACAGACTCCAACCTCCGTGCAGCATCTCTTGTCAGAACAGCTGTCTGTCTGTCTGCAAGAGTATGGCACCATCTTTACTAGGCTGACTGACAGCAGAAATTTACTGGACAAAAATAGTTTTCATGTAAGCTCATCAGCAAGAAATCAGCAGCGTTTATATGTATGGATTTTTTAAATTAATTTCCCCATGTTGGATGGGTGGAAAGTAGTATATATTAAAGATAAATAAAATTAAACCAAATAACTTTGTGGGGCAGGGGGGTAAGTTAAATCTTCCCTTTGTTTTACTGTGTGTCATGGTTTATTTTAATAGTTGATTGTTGGGACTGAAACAGTTCGGGGTCAGCCCATGATCTTGAAAGGAGAGGCCTGACATAATGTGTGGTGTGTTCCTCTCCTAAACAGCTCCCAGACCCTGAGGAGGGAGCTTGTCTAAGAGGGTGTCAGCAGTCCAGTGATGCTATATGCAGTTAAGGGAAAAGAAATAGTGACCTGGCCTTCCTCCCCCATGCTGTACCCCCCCAGAGAAAGCCCAAGAGTGACCCCAAATTGTATTCTCCAGCTGATTGGAGTTTATAGTCAGGGACTACTTCATGTAATTCCACCTGACTGTTTACATTCTCAGTTTGCACATGTATAATTACACATTCATTGCTGACTATTGCACATACAGCTGATGTAGCATACCTTCTTATTATATTATATTTTTCACATGCTGTTTTTAAAATTGCCTTTATTTTGTATTATTATTTATCCATTTTATATTTAGGCTTTATATTGTTTGGTATTCATTGTGGACAGACAGCAAAGGAAGAATTTCATTGTGCAGGGAAGTATTTTTCCTTACTGTGCATATGTCAGTAAACATTTTGATTGAATAGTAGTAGTAGTAATAATAATAATAATAATAATAATAAGTGATAGCGTGTGACAAGGGCAAAATCACAGACATTAACTATACCAGTTAGTAGTGCTAGTTGTTAGAAATTAACCCAATTCTTTTGTTGGAAGCACGAGAAGTGAAGGCAGGAGAGGACTGTTTAAAATTAGCAGAAAGTTTACTGGAAGTCTGAGCACAGGAAAGTCATCAGAGAGTCAGAGCTCCCGCAGGAGATCCAACTTCTCTGAACCCTGTGTTAGGTTTTTACAATGCATTTACCTGGCTGGGCCAGGCCCGCCCTAAACAAAGGTACAACAATTCACACTTCATATCCCTATTGGGTATTTGGTGTGAGTAGGTCAACCCCTGCCTGCGCTTGCTTGCTGATATGTGATCTAGACCAGGTTTGTGTGTGTGTGTGTGTGTGTGTGTGTGTGTGTGTGTGTCTCCGGCACCCAGATCTTGATATCAAGGTGCACTGATCAATGGGTGGCCTGAGTTTCAGGCCCCCTGTGTGTGTGATGCTAATAAGTATGTTAAACTGGCCAGGTGGTCATCTCAGGTTGTAGCCCCCGGCCTCTGCAGGACATCCCAAGACGAAGCAGAATCTTGGAATATGCTAAGTGGGTCTACTGTGGGTGTAAAACAGGCCAACAGGCCTTTGCTAAAATGTAAATAGACTGTCTGGTCACAAGGATATGCAAACATCCTGTCTCTACACAGAAGTTACAGCATTCAAAGTAAGCAGATTCTACTTCATTGCAGTTGTAAAATATATAAGCAAGGGAAATAAATGTATTAAAAATAACCAAAGCTCAGTAGTTCTGGACAATCATCAATACGTCTGTAATATGTATAGACAAGGAAAATAAAGTTATGAAAGGTAACTAAAGGTATGAGAAGTAACAAAAGCTTATAAAGTAACTAGAGTCTGTAAGACTCAAATCTTACATAATGTTAATAATAACAGTAAATAAAGCAGTTTGTTATATTTCTAAGCATTTGTGGGAATGTGCATGGCCTTGGCCCCAGATTCCAAGTGCCAGTCAAGGTTGATATATTATTCTTATGGGTGGATGTTATTTTCTATAGTGTGATGTATTCTATGAGAAGGTTGGTCCATTGGTTGATGTGTAATGAGTTTTTAGATTTAAAGTTTAGAAAGATAGTTTTCTTGATGATAGAGAAATAAGAAGTGGATTTTTATATTTAATTGGCAGGTGGTTGACTTCTGTAATATTACTGAGCAGGCAGAGTAGTGGAGGGATTCTCTTTCATGGCTACCCAGAGGGAGTAAATGGGTTGACAGGTCCAAGTAGTGTGGAAGTAATCATCGGTGCAACCCAGAGTGCATTGTCAACACTGTGTCAGTGAAACCCATTTTAAACATTTCACCTTGTGTGATGTGAGTCCTGTGAATAGGCTTATATTGTATAAGCTGTAAGTTTGTATTGGTAGTCATGGAGAAAATATTATTACAGACCTTGGTCCAGAAGTCGAGGCGGGGGGGCAACAAATCTTTTTCCCATTTAGTCATTGGTATTGTTATTGTTAAATCTATATTTGACATTAGTTTATAAAGTTTACATATTATCATCTTTGAGTTTGTAAATGTCATTATATCCTCAATTAGCATGGAAGGTTGTAGGGGGTTGTTGATTATATTTATCTTTTATTTAATTAATTTTTAAGGTCACGCCACAGCATCTCAATCAGATTCAAGTACAGACTTTGACTAGGCCACTCCAAAACCTTAAAGGTGGACTTGCTTGTGTGTTTTGGATCATTGTCCTGCTGCAGAACCCAAGTGCGCTTCAGCTTGAGGTCATGAACTGATGGCTGGACATTCTCCTTCAGGATTTTTTCATAGAGGGCAGAATTCATGGTTCCATTAGTCACAGCAAGTCGTCCAGGTCCTGAAGCAGCAAAGCAGCCCCAGCGCATCACACTGCCACCACCATATTTGACTGTTGATATGATGTTCTTTTTCTGAAATGCCATGTTACATTTACGCCAGATGTAACATGACGCACACCTTCCAAACAGCTCAGCTTTTGTCTAATCAGTCTACAGCATATTTTCCCAAAAGCTTTGGGGATCATCAAGATGTTTTTTGGCAAAAGTGGGATGAGCCTTTGTTCTTTTTGGTCAGCAGTGGTTTTCGCCTTGGAATTCTGCCATGGATGCCATTTTTGCCCAGTCTCTTTTTTATGGTTGAGTTATGAGCACTGACCTTAAGTGAGGCAAGTGAGGCCTGCAGTTCTTTAGATGTTGTGGGTTCTTTTGTGACCTCTTGAATGAGTTGTCGCCTCGCTCTTGGGGTAAATTTGGTAGGCCGGCCCCTCCTGGGAAGGTTCACCACTGTTCCATATTTTATCCATTTGTGGATAATGGCTCTCACCGTGGTGTGCTGGAGTCCTAAAGCTTTAGAAATGGCTTTATAACCCTTTCCAGACTGATAGATGTCGATTACTTTGTTTCTGATGTGTTCCTGAATTTATTTGGGTCACAGCATGATGTCTTGCTTTTTGTAATCTTTTGGCTTACTTCATTTTGTCAAACAGGTTCTATTTAAGTGATTTTTTTTTTTTTTTTGGATTCAACAGGTCTGGCGGTAATCAGCCCTGGGTGTGGCTAGTGAAATGAACTCGGCTTTCCAAAAAATGTGAATTCATGATTTAACAAGAGGGGGAAATTACTTTTTCACATAGGGCCATGTAGATTCTGATAGCTTTTTTCCCCCTATAATAAATAAAATCATCACTTAAGCAATTCAGGCAATGAGTGAGAGTGGGAGGTTGGACCAGCGTTTGAAATCATCTACCTTTTTTAGCAGAGGAGTGTAGTTGAGGTTAAAAAGTTCTGACAGCCTGGGGGAAATGCTGATCCCTAAATATTTAATGTTGCCAGTCTGAAGTTGAAGGGGGCAGTCTTGAGCTGCAGAATCCCAGGCATTTTCAGAGAGAGGTAATATGGTGGATTTATTCCAGTTTACTGTGTAGTTGGAAATCTTGGAGAATGTGTTAATAATGGAGAAAGTTTTTTGGAGTGAAACTATAGGGGTCCTGTAAATATAATAATAAATCATCTGCATAAAGACTCATTTTATGTTGTGAGTTAATAGGGTGGTAAGCTGGGGCTAGAAAAAGTGATAGGTGATCAGACTGTCCAAGGTGAGGGAGAGGTAAGGCTCTATATACCTTAGAAATGTTGGTGTAAACACAGTCCAGCATGTTTTTCCCTCTAGTTGAGCACCTGACGTGTTGTTCAAACCTTGGAAACACAGTCTTCAGGTTGACATGGTTAAAATCACCAGCCACAATAAAAACCCCATCAGTATATGTATTCTGTTTGCTTATGTCTGCTGACAAATAACC